TTAGCTAGTTAGTTCAATTCTTGATGCATGTAGCCCTTAAAATAGTGTTAAGTTCTTTTAGGATAAAAATGAGATGATAACCTTCTGGTTCCCAGTGAATCCTCTATAATAAGTTTACTTATTTTAGTTGCTGAGGAATATGATTTCTTAGATGCAATCAATAGTGACTTCTGCTCTTCACACCAGTTATTTCTGTTATAGTGAAATGATATTATATATTAAGGAGCTCTGATAGCATAGTGGTTACGAATCGGGCTGCGAGCCACAAGGTCAGCAGTTCGAAACTACCAGCTGTTCTGCAGGAGAAAGATGAGGCTTCCTGCTCCCGTAAAGATTTACAGCCTTGGAAACCCTGTATAGGGTTGCTATGAGTCGGAACCAACTCCATGGCACATAACAACAACAATTATGGAAAGGTCACAGCATTGAGCTGTGTTGTACTCTGAAACGTACAGAATGCCAGGAGGCAGAATTTTCTTTTAAGGACAGTAGTAGTTCAGGAGTGAGATTCTTGCCATCTGTGAGAGATACTTGGGCTTAATTCTCAGTCAGTGTACCTCAAAGATGGCCACAGCTCTTCTGTCAGTGGAGACTTTCATGCTGCTGTGATGCTGAACAGGTTTCAGCCAAGGTTCCAGAGTAAAACAGGTTAGGAAGAAATATTTGACAGTCTACTTCCAAAAACAGGCAGTGAAAATGCTATTGACCATACTGGTGTGCTTCTGTGGTCCATGGAATCACTCTGGGTCAGGATGACTCCACAGCAGATAAGAACAACAGTATTCCACATGTAAAAGATAGTTCAAGAACAGCCATGTAAGCTTGCTGGCCACCACATTGGTCTACTGGTGAGTGGAAGTGGCAGAAAGGCAGCAATGAAGATATGGTCAGGAGTTTTACCATGTTCTATAAACCCCTGTCGATTTGGAGATGTGATAGCAAAGAGGAAGGGCTGGTTGGTCCAAAATGTGGTGAGACCTGGGGTCTCTTGAGACCATGGACAAGTAAGGTAAAGCTGAGAATGAAGCGTCCAGCTGCTGTGAAGTGAAGGAAGATGAAAAAGGATGCTCAAACTTGCAGACAGTACTCATTTGACCTAACTTTGATGGCTTAAAACTCAACTAGAAGAGTTTTAAAAAATCATAAAGGAAACAAGTATAAATTCGATGAACTTGATCTATACTTATGGAAGTAGTAGCTCAGAATGCCAACTGAGAGCGAAGGAGTCTTCAACCTATTCCCTCTGTACCCATGGTTGATAGGGATGGGGCAACTTAGATATTGGCTAGCTAAAATGGGGGAGCGGTAGAGAGGCACAAAGTGACTGGTTTACAAGTTTTCAAGAGGGAGTTTAGTTTCAGAGTGTGCGGGAAAAGGTAGAATTCCACTGAATAGTTCTCATCTTGGCTAGATAGATCTGGTGAAAGGAGATGGGGATAAGATTATTATGATTCAATAATGAATAATTGTTATAATGACTAATTGCGATTGTCACAACTGTACAGGAAGAAGTTTTATAACATAAAGTAAAGAGTAGTTGATCTTACATTCCAGGAACAGAGGACCCTAGGACTATCAAGGTAGAAGAGCATGAGTGGAATGTGGCACCCTATCTAGAGAAATAGTAACACCAGAGATGAAGGTAGAGATGATGACATGGAGAAATAGAGCAACTAAGGACTCTAGACTCATAGAAAGAGAAAGACTGTGTGCTGGTAGCCAGGAGGCAGACTTACAGAATGTGCCCTTTAGTTGTTTAAATTATTATATATTCCTGGGTGTTTTAGTGTACACTCCCCCCCAAAATTAATAATAAATAAATAAAATTTAAAAATCAGAGGGAATAGAAGTACATACTGTTGAATGAAGATGCATGGAGGGGTTTGTAATCATTGCAATGAAAAGATGAATGCAAAACTGATGTTCTCCCATGTAAACTATCACTTAATTCACAATAAAAACTTAAAAAAAAAAAAAGAAGAAAAGGTTCAAGGTGAAAGACCTTTTACTGGATGTGAATTTTTTTTTTCTTTCTTTTTTCAATTTGTAACATTCACTGCAGTGTGTTCTGCCCAAATACATGTTTTTGAAATGCCAGCTTGCTCATTTGCAATTGTTAGTAAAAGAATGATGTTGTGGAAGTTGTGCGGCTTTGTATGTGACATATTCTAGGCAAAGGGGGTCAGAATAATCAGGGTAGCATTATAGTCTTTGATGCAAAAAAAGAAGAAATTGTCAGCTTAAATGTAATACAGTCAGCAGGAGCACTTTTAACTCTATTTTAGGAAAATTAAACATGAGTGTTTTTATCTCAGGCTCCCTCATCAAAGCAGCACATACTTACTTCATGCAGCTTCTAAATGCTTGCAGATTTCACTATTCCCTGTGCCATTCTCTATGGCCAGCATGTTGGCTCAGAATTTATGTCTCAGCTGGATTTTCTCCATCAATTCTAATTAAAGGATTGCTGGGATTTCTACTCTTTTTTTTCTTTTCTTCTTTGTTTTCAAATGCCTTCTGAGTCAACCTCCTTACTTAGGTGATTCAAATTGTCTTGTGATATACCAGCTATTATTGAAAAGTTGCATAGTTCTTAAATGGTCTACCAAATACTATTTTCTCACAGGTTCTATTATTTTAGGTATGCTATTTGTTTGGCATTTTTTGATAAGCAGTGGACTGGTAACTACAGGGTTGGCAGTTCAAATCCACAAGCTGCTCTCAGAAACCCTATGCAGGGTCACTATGAGTCGGTCTTGACTCAGCACAACAATAACCAACACTCTGTTTGTACTGTGACCTCAGGTGTGTCAGAGTAGAACTGTGCTCTGGAGGGTTTGGTTTGCAATGTCTGCTTTTAGAAGGAGACTCACGAGACCTTTCTTCTAAGAGATCTCTGAGTGCACTCAAACCTCCAACCATTTGGTTAGCAGCCTAGAGTGTTACCCACTGTCATCAGCCAGGGACAACAAGTGAAGAGTGCAGGAAGCATATATCTTGTCATGCAAATTAAATCTTCTTTTAGGACCATTAACTTCTGTATCTTACTGTCTCTGGAAGGGGCTATTGTATGCTAAAGGGTTTTAAGTCACAAGCAATTAGCATCCTTCTTTAGATCAGATTTGTTTTTTGTTTTTTGTCCACTAGCACTGGACTGAAAATTAGGTTTGAACTGCAGAGTTGTTGGTACAAACTCACCAAGTCACTCATTGGAAGTCCTATACAGGGTGGCTATGAGACAGGAAAATATTCGAGGTCATGTAACAACAGTGTATTTGTCTCATTGTGTAATGCACAATTGGTTTACTTTGTTTCAAAAGCCTGTAGATTTCCAACTTGCTTTATCAGCAACAATATATAAATTTGACTTTAGTTATTGCCTCTTTATCTCTAATTTAGTCCTTAGTTTAAAAGTACATAGCAATTTACATGGCTGGAAATAGTTGCCAAAGAAAATAATTTTTTTTTACCATAGAGAAATCATTCTAAAATAATGATTATGATGCTTATAAGTATCACCAGTTCTGGTGTGGCACTGTAGGTTGATCTCTGAATGCCTAAATACAAGGTCAGCAGTTCAAACCCACCAGCTGCTCATTGAGAACCCTATTATGGGGTCTCTATGAGTCGGCATGAACTCGGTGGCACTTGACAACAATAATTAAGTGTATATTAAGAAGCCACTGTTTTCTTCACTTGAATTATTGCTTATTCTCACACAATTTTGTGACTATAATACATATTTTCTAAACAAAAGAAAAAGAAAAAAGTGCCAGGAGTAATCTAAATATGCTCTGCAAAATTGTTAAATAGAAATAGGAGGAAAATAAATTGGATGTTTTTCAAAGTTTAGCTTGAATAATAATGTTGCTTTTAAATATATATTTTAAGCCACTTCGATTGGTACAAGTTCCTCCCCTTTGTAGTGCCTAGCATTGGTCAAATTTCTTAGTATACATGAGTCTTTGTTACTCTTTTTATAAAGTTGAAAATCTAAATGTTTTATTTCATTGAATCATTTGAGGAAAAAATATTATAGTGTATGTAAAATACTTAACCCAGTAACTGCTATGAGTGTTTTCTGCATAAACATTTGTTGTGAATGTGTTTTATTATCGTTTTCATTGTCAAATTTAGTAACTGTGCCTAGTGCCCCGCTCTCTTCATTTCCTATGTTTTGATAAACTAGGCAGGCATACTCTGCTGAGTGATTCATCAGCCTTAGCTAGTTGCACTTTTGCATGAACTTAACCTGATTTCAGGGATGAAACAAAGAATGAACACCATAGTTCATGGCTGTCATTAATGAAAGATAGCTGGAAATCAGACAAACAACTTCATTGCTGAGATTGTTTCCGGACTAAAAGTTCTTCCAACAGCTGTTTGTTTTGGCTATTAATCGTGTCCATTACTTTTTCTTTTCCTTTTTTTTATTATTTAAAAAAAAAATCTTAAGGTTGGAGGGAAAATAGGCTTTTCTTTAAAAAGAGAATCCAGGCTGTTTATTTCTGAAGTCAGGAAGAACTCGTGTCCTCCCACTATTGTGGTCTTTTGGCTACTTTGACCATTGGACAGAAAGCCTTTTCCTTTTGTTTTTCTTCTCTTCCTCTTTTTTATTCTTAATGTTCAGACTCAGACTGCTATAGTAAGAAGGAAAAGAAAACTAGCAGCTCTGTAATCCCAGAGAAGGCACTTTGTAGCAGTTACCATCAAGAAAAGTGTACTCCCCAAAGGAGTCTGTAGTATAGCATACATGCAGACAAGAAATAGAGACAGAGCGAGAGAATGAGAGCCGGAGTCAGCAAGAAAGGAAGATACTTAAAGAAAGATGAAAGGAAGTTTTGCCTTTCCTGAAAGTTATATTATTAGTTTTTTAAAAAAAATCAAGTTGACTGCTAGTTTTGTTTAAAGTATTTGTTCTGGAAAACTATAGTTGGAGTCTACCAGACTGAGGTTAGAAGCATTTTCTTTGGCAACACGAAGATACTTTTATAGAAGCAATGCCTGTACTTGGGGTTGCCTCAAAACGGAGGCAGCCAGCTGTTGGGTCAAAGCCTGTTCATACTGCGCTTCCGATCCCAAATCTTGGCACTACTGGGTCACAGCACTGTTCTTTAAGACCTTTGAGACTTAATGGAACAGAAAGCTCAATGCTTTCTTGTCAGCTCACATTAAAACCAACCTGTGAATTTGGACAGAAGAAATCCTTCCAAGGAAAAGCCAAGGAGACAGAAGACAGTAAGGTTAGTGGCTTAAGGTTACCTGCAGACTTATATAGCTATAATGCAAATTTATTTTAGATGGAATATAAAGCATGCTGTGAAATGGGGATTAGTAGAGGAACAGCAGTGTAAAACAGTAAGTAACTTGAATAGCTGAAAAGTTATATACTCTGTGTAAAAACTATAGAGCTTATGGTTGTAGAAAAAGCCGTGAACAAAAATCTGCATATACATAATTTGTAATCATTTGGTATTACTTACTTTTAAAGAGTCTGGTTATTCCTAGGCATTGCTCTATTCCTGAGAAGTGTAAGTAATTACAGATGTTAAAAAAAAAAAAATATCCTATTTGCCATAGATATTACAGTGCAGAGGAAAGGTTTATTTTTTGGTAACCCATACAGTCTATCACTTTTCCTTAAATATTATTTGTCTTTTAAGCAATCTTAGTTTAAATATTTTTATTCTAAGTGCTAATTATTGACATTTGAAAGATAATGAAATATTGGTTTCCTTAATATTGCACATCTGTCTGGATTTTCACTTGTAAATGGAAACCCTACTGTTTTACTTATTACAGACATCTTTTTCAGTCATTTAACTTAGGGTGTTTTGCACGCAGTTAATGCCAAGCTCTTGATTTCTAAACTATACTAGAATTGTTTTTTCTAGATATTGAGTGTCAGTATGATCCTGCAGTTGATGAACTTCAGGGGGACTCATTTTTACCTTGATGAACATCACTGTATTGACTATGATGTCAACCTTTCTAAAGTTGCTATACTCATCTATGGCTTCTCAGAAATGTTTAGATCTTACTTTTCTACCCAAATCAAATTCAGAAGTATGTGCATATGTGTGTATGCATATTATGTATGTACACATACTTATATGCATATATAAATTCTATGCTTTTCCACCACCCCAATTCTTTATTCATTATAACAATTTAATAGTAATTTAATGGGTGAATATATTAACAAATGGACCAATGAGTGAATAAACAATTATCCCAAGAAATAATTAGTTAATTAGTCTGTTTGGATAATTTCATCTATAAATCAAGAGATTTAGAAGATATGATTAAGATATATTACTCTTCATGTCTTAGGAAAACATGGTCTAAGTAAGAAAAATCAATGAAAATATGTTATTTAATTTTAAGCTGATAATTCAGTCTATTGTGACAATTAATGATAAAACTAATATAGAAAAAGACACAAATATTAACTTGATGAAAATCATTAAAAATGAGCACTATATAGTTCTTTAATATTCTGTGTATTCCTAATAGTGTATTAGCTGATAAGAATAGGTTAATACCTATTGTCTTTATAGGTCTAGCCAGACTTCTGCTTTTCGAAATGGCCTGGTCCAAGACTTACTATAAGTACTGTTTTCATTAGAATTTTGGATCATCACCTTGATTAACATGGATATTAATCAAATATAGTATTCCAGTAAGACCCTGTGGTAAGCTATGTTGTGCTTCCAAGAATATTTTTATAATGTCACTTGTAAGATTAAAGGCTTTTCAAATAAATGTAAAGTATCCTTCTCAGCTTTGGGAATAGTTCAAAATGTTGAGTATATTTTGTGATTTTTGTAAACTTTTTAAAAGTAGTTGAAGAAAATAGAAAAAAATAAAATAAGATCCTTATATTAGGGAACATTAAGTTTGACCTTAAATAGTAGAAAATTCAAAATAATGCTAGCATAAACAAGATATGCATGTATTGCTGTTTATGGTTGAACAGTGACTTCATGACCTTGTCGCAGAACCAGGCTGTCTTTATTTCACTGATTATTATCCACTTATGACATCTCCTTCACAGTATTGAGTGGGTAATTGATCTACATTCAGCAAGAAGTTGTAAGTGACTGAGGAAGACACACCTTGTTTATTAAGATTCTTCTGTATCCTATTGGTTTATATATATTCTTAAGTTTTTACCTAGCTGAAGTGGAGACTGGTAAATGTATCTTTTCTAGGTTAGCCATATATATGTTGTTGTTGTTTAGTAACGTGGACTCATTTCCGACTCATAGTGATCCTACATAGGGTTTTCAAGGCTGTAAATCTTTACAGGAGCAGAAAGCCTTATCTTTCTCCCGCAGTATGGCTGGTAGTTTCGAACTGCTGACCTTGAGGTTAACAGCCTGATTCGTAACCACTACGCTACCAGAGTTAAAATTTATAGACTCTATTTCTACAGAACCCAGCTAGCTCAGTCGGTAGAGCATGAGACTCTTAATCTCAGGGTCGTGGGTTTGAGCCCCACATTGGGCGTGCTTCTTGGAGCTCTGGTAGCATAGTGGTTACGGATAGGGCTGCGAACTTAAGGTCAGCAGTTCAAAGCTACCAGCTGCTCTGTGGGAGAAAGATGAGGCTTTCTACTCCCGTAAAGATTTACACCCTCGGAAACCCTGTACAGGGTCGTTATGGATCGGAACCGACTCGACGGCACTTAGCAACAACAATTTCTACAGAAGAAGAAAGAATAGAGAGTACCCACAATAGATGGTTGTTGGTAAGAAACATTTATATCGAGTACTTTGGAATCCCTTAGAGTTTATAGTCTGGTTAAAGAGAACAGATTGATATACCACAATGTCACAAGTGTATCTTCAATTCACTACAACTTTTTCCTATCCCTGTTTTAATTAGTCAAAAAGTCCTACAATTTTGAATCCCTACGATAATATCTGGTGGTATATATACTTATTTAGTACTCCATATTTCACTGGAAATTAGAGATTTCATTTGTTTAGATCATGGATTAATCCTTTTCTATATATTTCCATTACCAACACTCACGCTTTGGTGATTTTTATGTTTTCTAAATTATTGCATTGATTCCAAATTGGTTTCCTTTTTTCTGTGCCTTTCTACCATTGTTTGTCCAATACTTATAGTATCCCATTTGTGCTAAAACTTTAGATATTTCAGTGACTTACAGATTCTTTGGCCAGACACTGTAGGCACCCAATTGTTTGCTGCCATCTCCTCTCCCCACCCCCAGCACCTTTCCTTCTCTGCATCGTCTCTCATAGCTCTATTCTAGCTACTGTAACCTGATGTTTTCTGACCGGGCATCCAAATCATCTAGACTGCTTAGTTGCATTGTTGTATAATGAATGGGTAACACTAGTTCCAGATTCCACATCACGTAGATTTGGCAACTCCACCACAAAATTTGAAGGGCTTAAGTTTTCCTTATTCATTTTTTCCCCCGGATTATATTACTACTCTTGAGTTTTCTAGCATCTGTAGTCATATAGTTTTGTTTTTCCATCTCACCTGAGCATTCTGGTGAATTCGGGACAGAGTGTCATTTTGCCTTGGAATCTTTACTTAAGAATCTAGAGGTAAAGATGCAACTACTGTCATGATCTCTATACCTCCCATTCAGAACAGAGGAGAAAGAAGGAAAACCAAGACTCAGATAAATATTAGTCCTGGTGTGGCAATATGTGACAAAGCCCTGGGACCTTGGTTCAGCTCCTTGAAAATGCTCTGCATGGTCACTGTGAGTTGGAACTGACTGAACAGCACTTAACAACAACAACAACAACAACACAGAACTAACTGTTTTGGGGAACCACAACCTCATCTACACTGAGAATAGAAGAATTAGATGAGGTAGCGTAAACGGGCTGTGAACCTTAAGGTCAGCAGTTCGAAACGACTAGCTGTTCCGTGGAAGAAAGATGAGGCTTTGTGCTCCGTAAAGTTTTACAGCCTCAGAAACCCTGTACAGGGTTGACTGTGAGTCGGATCTGACTCCATGGCACGTAACCACCACCACCACCAATCTATCACTACTAATTGATGGATCACAACTGATGGGTCCTAAAAGGAGCTCTGATAGCATAGTGGTTACTAATCGGGCTGCTAATCTCACGGTCAGCAGTTTGAAACAACCAGCTGCTCCGCGGGAGAAAGATGAGGCATTCTGCTCCCGTAAAGATTTACAGCCTCAGAAATCCTGTACAGGGTCGCTGAGAGTCAGAACCGACTCCATGGCACATAACAACAATAACAATCTAATTGGGGTCCCTGTATGGTGCTGTGGGCTAATGCACCAGACTGCAAAGCCGTTTGAACTGCAGGGTCTGCAGTTCAAGCTCACCAGCTGATCCTCCGAACCCCTATACAGGGTCGAAATGGGTGGGAACTGACTCTACAGCACTTAACAACAGTAGCAGCAACAATAAAATAGGAGAAAAATATGGAACAGAACCTCAAATTCTGAAATCATCAAGACTTACAGGATCTAGTAAAGCTTGAGGACTGTCTAGGAGTATTGCCCAGACATATTGTTTAAACCTTGAATTTAAACTCTCCCCTGAAATCGTCTTTTGGTTAAATAAAAAGTAGCTCACAAAATAAAAAAGTACAATGCATGAATAAGATGTTGTTGTTGTCATGTGCCATAAAATCATTTCCGACTGTTAGCAACCATGTATAGGGTTTCCAGGACTCCTTCTGTGGCACTGTAGGGTCAGCACTTGACTGTGAACCAGTTTAGCAGTTCAAACCCACCAGTTGCTCTTTGGAAAGTGATGTTGATTCAGTTCTGACTCTGAAACCCTGTACAGCACCACACAGGGAGTCCTGTGCTCCTTTAGAAATATCGTCTTTATCTATCCACGTGGTTAACTATTATGTTAAAAACAAAGGCGAGGAGATAGTGGGACAGGGGAACTAGATTGCTGGAAATGGAACAGTCAGAAAATAAATAATGAGAATGTTCATACATTGTGAAAAATACAACCAGTGTCCCTCAACAGTCTGTAGAAATCATTAAATGATAATCTAATCTGCCATGTCAATTCTCACTGAAAACACAGTAAAATAATATACACTTTAAATATTTAAATGAAAAAACACAAACAAACAACTTTTTAAGCCCGGGGAAAATGTGAATAGTGTGTTCTTGGAAATTTAGGATTTTTTTTTTTTTAATCTATAAAAAAATTCTCTAAATAACAGTGATATTCAAAGTTCCTGTCATGGT